CATATTACTGCACGTAAATTAAGTAGACTAGGCGCATTGGAAGTAGAGATGCGTTGGAAGGTTACGAAAAATGCAGGCGCAAAGAAAGTCCAGTGTGCCAAAATTGGAGTGGGTGGAAATAAAAGCAAAAGTTTTTGCGAGACGACATGCAAGACATGATGTAAGCATAATTGGTAAAATACGGCAATGGAAGGTGGGACAGGAGAAAGTGGAAGAAGGAGGTGCTGCCACCGTTTATCGGTGTTTGCCACATTCATTGTATGGTGAGTATCGATGCAGCTCAAGCAGCTGTGGAAGTGTTTGGCTGGCCCGAAAGGGCCTAGATCGAAGCAAAGGTGGGTGTCGGGTTGGGGTGTGGTTGTGCTCTCTATAGCTGCGAGCGACGTGGTGGCGGCGCTTGCAATTCCTCCTTAACCCTCTCGCTCCCAAAACAACACATGTCTACCTTCCCTCTATCTACTCCATCTCACCACTCTTTACCGCATGCGTCTTTGCTGAGCCCTCCTTCACTTCTTTTCTTCCGCCACCTCCTCCGTCCTCATGCACCAGCCACATCTGTCATCCTGCTCCTACGCCTCCACCTTACCCCAACAACAACACACTCGCGTGGATTCTCTTCCCTCTCACACACCCGACAATGCCGTTCTCTTTGCTGTCACTGTTTCTAAGACACCTGCCTTCTACCTTACTCCTCTGCTTCCCCTTTGTGCAAAACCCCATTGCGTTCATTGTCATCTTCTCCAGTACATCTATTTGACTCCACGTACAAATTCCCTTCTCCTTACCCTACACCACACTGACTCTGGCATGACTACGCTAAACGTACCTTCTGCTGTCACAACCCTTTTATCTCCCACCGAATCCCTTCTCTGCAAAGCCCAACAAATTTCCGATCTACGTACATTGCACGGCTCAGGCAATTTCTTTTAGGAGAACTGTCCAGTGTCTGTGCTGTAGAATGTCATGCTCGTGGCATCGTGATCTCGTCAATAATATTTAGCCTACATGCTGGGAGGCAATGAAGCCACCAAAGCTCTACTTCCTCCGCCTCCGCTCCGCCCTCGTCTCCACCTCCCGCCAAGATCAAAATTTACAGACTGTCCATCTGTCGACTGGTGTTACCTCGTGTGTTTGGGCACTTGAGGTTCTACAAACCCTAGCATATTCATGGATAGGAATGACAGAAGTGGGAGCAGAGTCACCTCCAGCCAATCCTCACATGCTCGACCACGTCATTGCATGCGCCAAACTCTTCGTTACTAGCATCATCATTATCATCATGTTCGAGAGGTTGCACGTGCAAGGTCGTCGCCAGCGATTCTACATCATCCACAAACAGGCTGCTTGCAGCTGTTGACGCTCAAGTCATCTTCGTGCGAAATGTGTTCAGGATAACTTGCATAGGCTCTCACCAGGCATGTGCGAACCTTCTTCACTTCCATTACCTCTTGCCTCTTAACTGCTCACGCACTGACGTCACTTGATTCACCACCTAAGCATGTGGGACACCTGTCACATTGGTACATATGCCGGCGCACAACAACTCACAACAATTCTCCTAGCGTGAGAACGTTTGGGTCTCCCCACCCCCATGGTCGCAGGATTTCTATCTTTCCTGGTCGCTTCATGTCTGAGTTATAAGTTGGCAATGGTGTCCTTTAACACGCACAGCACGCCCTCTACACACATCCACTGATATCGAAGAATGCTTTCAAATCCATGTGATGCTGGTCAATGGAATGAAGAAGATGTGCCTAGACGATGCACTAAACTACTTGGTGAGTGACTGCATCGACTGAGATTGCCTTCATAGTAATGTTGCAGTCAATAACGAATACAGACTGGTCGTGATTATGCGTTCCTTAGGCGCCTAGCAACAATAGCAGCAGCAGCAACAACAACAACAACTGCTACTACTGCCACAGCAGCACCGCGCTATTACTGCTTTTAAAGGGTTCTCTACAATCAGAGCAATCGTATTTCCTGGAGCCTATTTGGTCGTTTATCAGAGCTGCAATCAGCATACTTAGAGGAGGTGACCTGGGACCCCTAATGGTGCCGAGGAAAGCAGCAGCAGCTGCAAGAGAAGGGAAAGGGGATGATGCATAAGTGCCTGATCGGCATGTTAATCTCAGGTTGGGATGTTGTTAGACAAAGTGAAGGTGGGCAGGTAGGAGGGATATTGAGAGTCGAATTACGCGAAATGCTGGTGTTTGCTTCTGGGTGTGCATGTGTGTGCGCCTTCTGCCAAGCACGAAGTAAAACCACAGTCTGTCTGCTAGCAATTAGCCAGTACGACGTGGACACACTCTTTTGTTTTATATTTCGAAAGTATTCACCGGTGATTGCAACTAAAAACAGGTTGATTAAGACACTTAATTACCTTCTAATCCAGACTTGATATCAAATTTCACCTCAAACACGATTCAGCTCAACAGTCAGCGACATTGATTGCACGTTTACAAAGTTCTGTCTCCACGAGTCGTTAGTGAATATATTTGAGGTAGCTTTATGAAGAATACTTTCGAATTTTAAAAAAAAACATCATGGTGACAAAACGCATGCTTTGTCAGGATAGTTAGGTAAAACCCTATATTACCGAATCCTTAAATGGTACTGAGTAGGCATGTTTATTTGTTGTGTCCGAGAGTGGGTTTAATTGTGATGCAAAATACATGTATCGCAAAACACACAATCAATCGGAAACTGTGATGTACCGCCTGATTACAGCAAAGATGTTGTACCAGGATGGAACTTCAGCAAATACGTGTACAATAAGTACCAGTACACGTGCGATATTGAGCGTCATATCTACAATTTGTGTTGAAAAATGTCTTGCGGTAAAACAAAATATTGAGATCACGGTACCCAACCTGCTGTTTGGTCGACGGTAAAGAAAAGGCAAATGACTGTTTTGAATACAATGCACAGCTACGTACTCGTTAGAAAAATATATTTTTTAAGCGTAAAATCCGATGAGCCCTTGAGCAAGAAAGTGTGTTTATGTTAACAATTTCTTAAACATAGCAGAACAATTTGACTTCGGACATGTACCTAACCAATCGACGAAGTTAAAGATTTACAGAAACTTCACAAACCATGTCCAACGCTAAATCTGTTCCCTGAAAGTCAATTTGACTCGTATAGGACCTTATTTTTATTCAACAACATTGAAACTTTCAATACGATGTTTTGTAATACAAAAATTACCCATATTATATTTAAACTAAAATGCCCACCACAAATTGTCCACCACAAATTGAGCTTATTTGCCATCACTTATTCAAAATTTCCTTGGATTGCTAAGAATACTTGCCTAAGCTTAAATAATATATCTATATACCTTAACGAAAAAGCAGGTTGATTTAAAGATTTTGGAAAACATTTACGTGTTTTTGAAAATTTTAAGTGGGTGGTTGTGTGACTTGTTGGTGAAAATAATGCAAAGTTAGAATATGATCCTAATAATATATGCTGCTCTCTGGTATTTTTACAAGACATGTTCGTTCTTTAACCTAAAATATATTGACTTCAATATGCCAAACTGGTTGTCATCTGTTTGCTCATGTAGACGCTGAAATAAATCCAAATGTCAAGGGAATGTTGAGATATGAAATGGTGTTTTATTTGGAGCCTATGGGTGAGGTATTAGGGACCATATTTTGATTGCCTGTGCCTTTTCAGCAACACAATCAATGAATACATTATTCAAATCACAACTAAAATGAACACTAGTTAGGTAGATCAAAGGAACCTTCTCATTCGGCATGTAGCCATTGCGTTTTGTCAGGTCCTACACAAACAAACAGCACCGTTGTGAGCTGCTCATCGGAGTCCGTCAATATGCAGTTGTGATAAAATGCGGCAGGAAATGCCCAAGGGAGAAACACATTATATTACAGCACGTTTTAACCTGCATATTCTTAACACATGAATATACTTTTATGTTAATTTAGAAGGGCATTAAACACCGAAAACCACTAACGGCACAAAATACATTCTGCTAATTTATGCTTGAAGGTCTCAAAGAGAACAATCATGTATTTCCGAACACTAAGTCTACATTACAATCAAGAAGAAACATCAGTCGAAATACTAATTGCTAAAATTTACGTCTTACAAGAATGAAAATGTAAATTTAATTGGAAAAATGGAGGTTTCCGGGACGAAAGATTATGTCGGTGTGAAAGGTGATGTTTGATTTCGATTCTGTGTTGTCAAGGATGTTGGAGAAGTTTAGGCTGTGGCGTCGGTGTACATTTGCTGCGTGGACATCGCCGAGCACTGTTTGTGCACGCAGGTGTAATTTGAAGGACACGCTCTGCAACTCTGACCACTCTCATAAGGCCTTCCTCTTGGTCTCAGTTGCATACCACTGCAAATGAATGTTTGAAAATTACTACAAGTCGATAGTGAATTCAAGCCAAAAAGAACGTGACTTGCGGTCGAACCCAGTTCCTTGACTCTTTTAGAAACAGCCAATTACCAAGCAGGACCATGCACTTACGCGTTATTGAAGGCACAGGTGACGATTCCACGATTTTGTTCTTTGCAAAATTTCTTCGCACATCCTACCTTGGTCGACGATGCCCACATCACCTTC